GCTGCCTTTTGACTGATGCTTGAATAGAACAATCAACTACTGAGATCTCATGGATTAGAATGTCCAGAGAAAGCGACGTTAAGACCGAAAATACAGAAAGAGATTTTTTTTTTTTTTTTATATAATTAATTAATATATTCATCCATCACTACGTTACCTTTCTCTTCTCTTTCTATTACTTTTGACTTCAATAACTCTGCATGCTTCTTCTTATACTGTTTTTAACCTTTTTATTTTAATAATCTAGCACTACTTTTTCATTCATCCACACATTCATTTGAATATGATTATACTGGGAATTGTTCTAAAGTAGCACTGTTCCTAATCTATTAATGGTACTTATTCTCTAAAATAAACCCAAAATATAAAAACTGATGTCTCTTTTAAAAAAAAAAAAAAAAAAAAAAAATTTCAAGCTTGTTTCACTGCTACTCTACGTTTACACAAGTCTTCTTCTCAATAAAGCCTGCATTAATTACATGAAACTGCCACAATTAATTATTCATTAATCACCCAGCAAAGAATTCAAGCATATGCCTGCAACTTCTTATGAATTTAGTCTCAATATAAAAACTTTAGAATAAGAGAGAGATCATTCATTGCATGGAATAGCAGCTAGCATGAAGCAATGCAGGCATATGTACTTTGAAAAGAAGCAGAAGTTCCTTATAATAAATGCGAAATATTAACCTAACATGAACAAAGTAAGACATACAACTGAGTCTTTCCTTGAATTGTGGTGTGTGCTATATACTTGCTTGCCAAAACAGCCAAACTAAGATAGGCTTTAAGGGTCTCTATCTGCATTTCTAGTGTAGGAAAAGAAAAGTATTCCACTATATAAAATAGGGAGAGAGAGCTAAGAAAGTTGAGTCAAAAAGTTGGAGATTCTAAAGCCTTAGAAAGATCATGCCAAGAAAGGGAAAAAGAGATTTGAATCCAAAAGACTCCTTTTTCCTCTACTTATAAAAAGGGATCCAAATATAGGTATTTCTAAGTGATGAAAAGGAAGGAAAACTAACATTTGCAAGATTAAACTACCCCTTCTGAAAGTGACATAAATTTGTGTTAGAAATGGACCCATAAAAAAGATACCAATCTCTTCCAAACGAAAATTTCTCCTTGGATGCTCGTCTATATATATATATATATATATTCAAGGCATTCACAGATCACAATATCAGTAAACCAGCTTGCATTAACTCCCTTCTCCAATAAAATCCATTATCTGAGTTTTCGTGTTTGTAAAATAATAATAAAGAAAAGCTTCACTGTAAAGTAAAAAACAACATGTTGACTAGAGCAAGATTTTGTCCATTTCCTGAAGGATATCCAGTAGCTAATTAGTGTACCGGTTCCATGGTCTACCACTACACCCATGTGATTAAGAAAGAAACCTCAAAATTATCGCTAACCCAAATAAAATCTGAATCAACAATCATCAAAATCATTCAATTCTCTGCGCATAATGCAAAAACGAAACATGGTTTTGTTTCATATTATATACTCAACTCAAAACATATGCAAGAGAACAACAGAGAGACAACATACCAGAAAGACATTGGTAAGAGCAGCAGCAGCTGCGAGGCGGCCAATATTGCGAGAAGCATCAATGGCCACATGGGCCGCCAGAGCCTCCACAAAAGGCTCAGGCCAGACCTCACTAATGGCACGTTGACGAGACGATGAAGGCCCTTCGAAATCACCCCCTCTTCTTGCACCCTGGTAACCTACACCACCGCCATTGCCATTGCCATCTTCTGAAGAAGAAGATGATGATGAAGATGAAGAAGAAGATGACATTAGTTAATAACAGGTGAAGGAAGCTATAAAGGAGAAGCAAGAAATGGGCTACAAAGAAGCAAGGACAAAAAGGTGTAGATAAAGACACAAATGAGGGACCCAAAACAAGTGTGTTTGGGATTCTAGGAGATATATATGACACAGTGAAACTTTAATTAATGTGCTATGATATATTATAATACAAAAGTATTTATAATAATATAAAAATATATTTGAGGGTTTTTAGTTTTTCTTATACAGGAGGTTTTCCCGCCCTGCAAACTGCAAAGACGGCGGGTGAAGTTGGTTCCAGGTTCCATGTGAGAGACTGCTATGTTTTTCAGCTTCTTTTCAACAAGTTTGCTCTTTGGTCCAACTTTCGTACTCTCTTTTCAACATCAGAAGATCAATATTACTTACAGAAATTTTGGTTTGTTTCATCTTAATTTGGTGATGTTTATTGTTTTCTATATCATAATTTAACACCATAAATATGAAGTTATAGTGTGAGAAAAAAAATACTCAAATGGGTTCAATATTTGTTTCCTCGTAAGGACTCCAAATTTGTTTGTTTCATAAAGAATTTGATCCATAAATGGTATTGGTAGGTGTTCACATTAACATAAGTGGAAGGTACATGAAATTGGCAGGCCAAATGTTTTGATACTTGAAGAAGAGAAATTTGACGGGTACGTAGCTAGATAACCGAATTCTACAATGGGTAAAGAATAACATAAAGTATGCTTATGTTGCACAGCTTCATTTGAAGTGTCTTGTTTCAATGAATTTAAAAGTAATCCATTCCTTAATTAAAAACATATCAGATATCCATATATAACCTATTAGTCCTCAAATCAGTGATCATATCGACATGCTTACTAGTCTGCTCTAAACTGGGTAACTTGATAGTTGATATTGTAGGATGAATATAATTTGGGAAGGTAAAAACATGGAGTTAAGAGCAAAACGTGATGGATAAATTATAAATGAAGCGTGAAGTTGCTGTCCCTCATGTTTGTGCCCCAATTAGAGTGCATATATATGATTCGTGATGATGATTCGCCTTGCACAGTTTATGTAAAATCTATAGGAAAACAAAAAAAAAGCACTGATCGCTATTGCTTTAGATGGAATTAGTAGGATGAGTGATTATAAATATTAAATACCGACAAAGCCCTACACTGCGGAGGAAATTAAGAGATATTCAGCAATGATTTTCCAGTTTCATGGCTGAGCAAAAGAGATTATGTATCAGTATCAGAAATGGAGGATGAACCCATCAATGGAATTTAGCTTAATTAATTATATATATATATATATATATATATATATGTGTGTGTGTGTGTGTGTGTGTGTGTGTGACGTCTGTTTACACAGTTAGCTAGGTAGCTTAATTAAGTATATTAAATGTTGTTATTTGGTCGGTGACATAGGTGGTTAAGAAGCACAGACACAGACAAATATCGAAGTTCTGTAGTAATTTGACATTTTGATGAGTCTTATTGTCATGTCCTTTTTAAACAAGCTCCATTTCTTGACTATTCAATTCATCTCGAAACATGCATAATTATCTTGTCTTACTCAATGTACACTTGATAATTAATTTAAACCATTTCTTTAAAAATTCTTTCTTCTTTATTAAGAAAAAGGACCTTGAAAGTGCCTTTAATATTATCAACAATATATTTCATATAATTGTTTTACCTATATTATCAAGTTTAGTATTCTAAGAATATGATTAAAAAAATGAGAGTAAGATGAACAATTTTAATAAAAGAAGCAGGGTGGGCCAAGCATAATATGCAGAACGAATATTAATTAATTAAGATAATAATAAAAGTGTAAAAATCATTCTATTTTAATTTTGTGTTATTGTTTGTGATTGGAAGAAGAAGGGGGGAACGTAAAGGTTCTCTTACAGAAGTGAAGTACAACTTCTCATTCAACTCAACAGTACTGTTTCTAATAACAACGACAAAACTCACAGGTACTTGGTCCTACCACTCTACCCTTATTAATTTTATAATTAATTAAGTACTAACTAATAAATGCCTTTAATTAATGTCAAACACTTTTATTAATTTACCATCTTTAAAGTTCATTTATTGAAGGTTCAAACCACCTGTAAATTTTAAAAATATGACATAACTCGCAATTTGATGTTAATTATCCACTTATTAAAACTTAAATTGCAAAAGTGATTTATTTATTTCTTATCCTGACTGTAAACTAGTCATTACTTCCTAAATGGACTCCTCGATTTCTGGGCCAGATTAACAAAGCAAGTCCAAAACGGTCAATTTACGTTCAAAATTATCTTGGAAAAACTGAGGAGTTGTGCTTGGTTAATTCAGGAAAATGGCAACAGGATTATATGTATGCTCATTATAGTCTGTTCCTTATTTGATTTATCAAAGTCTCTTTGGAACAGTATGAAAGTAAACCATGTAAAAAATAATAATAACAAGGGTTAGTTGTTAAATGTATATTTATGGAGGTTAGGTATGTTGTGGAGCTTAGTCAAATCCTTTCCCTACTCTGACCTAGCTTGCGTGCATCGAGATCCATTTGAACACTTTACGAACCATAGCTTGCGTGCATCGAGGTCCATTTGAACACTTTACGAACCAAAAGATCAGGTAAACCACAATATTATTGTGGTAGATGGCCATAAGATTTAAACTCAAAAACTCAAGAAAATGAGTAATACGTATTTGACTAAGCTCCACAACATACCTAACCTCCATAAATATACATTTAATAACTAACCCCTTTTTTATGAACCCTTGCATACATTTGAAGCAACTTCCAAATCCAATACGTTGTTGTTGCTTAGGCCTAAAGAATTCTGAAGTATCCCTTAAGTAAATGAAATTAATGATCGATGCTCCAAACATAAAAATTCTAGTTTTAATTGCAATGTCCTTATAGGCTTCAAATATGTATTTTAATATAAATTTGGGTTATGTACACCTGTCTCTTTGTTTTTTTACCTTATCATATATCTGACAACTTAAGTAATCACAAATTCACAATAACCATCTACATCAAAAAAAAAAAAAAAAAAAAAAAACCTAGAACAGTTCTTCCTTAACTTGAACAAGAATGTTTTATCAAAGAATTTAAGAAGATTCAATCTTAAATTAAATATATCTTAAGAAGACTCATAAATAAAAAATTCTAACAAACCATTCTCATAAGAGAAAATCCAAATTTATTCAATGCAGTAAGTAAAGAAGTGAGCAAACCGATACATATTTCAACTTACAAAAGGTACAAAGATGACTTCAATAATATAAACACGCCAAGGAAACTTGTACGCATGCAATTGCAGAAAATCTCATCACAATTTATTAGGAAAACTAGATATTACGCACTATAGATTGATGATCAAACTTTATTCATTAGTTCTTGGAAGGTGTTCATGGCACTAACTGGCAAACCCAAAATCAGCATGACACCCTCCGTCTCTTTTATTCCTGCGGGACTAAACAAACACACTTCTTTCGGAATCACTACACTGCCAAACTGTGATGCCTCTCCCCAACCAAAATCTGCAGAGTTGAACGCAATTCTAGTCCATGAAGTGATCACAAGCGTTCCAGTCAAAGAAGGCGGCGGTATTGTGATGCTTATATTTTCAAAAAAATCATTATATGATTGGACATAATCTTCGTTAACTTTCTTAATAGCATTTTGCACCATTTTTACTGCAAAAGAAAACGGGTTTTCACTCAGTTCACTTGCAGTGCAAGTGCACTCACTTGTTACTACCCCGTTGCCAAAAAAACCTTTTGGCAATGGTGTATTAAGCTTGGATCTTATGTCAACAGTGAACAAAAGCCTGCTTTTCTGATGGGGTTCCATTTTCAGAGTTTGGTTTCGTGCACGCCACACTAAAGCTGCGAGTACTGTGAAGCTTGAGCAGTATTTTAACCCTTCATCCTCCTCCATTGCTTTTTTCTTTAGCTCTGCCAACTTGTTTTGATCAAAACTGAATGATTTGTACACCGTGTTCTCTTTTTGGTACTGGCTTTCCAGGTTTGACACGTCACTTATATCAACTATATTGAACTTCTCTGTGGGGCTTTTGTCGAGGGGAGATCGTTTCCCGGACATAAACATAGAGTTATCAAGAACTGGTGGGGTGGTTAGTGGTACGCCTCTTGCTATTTCTGCCCATGAATTCACAAACTCCATCCCAGCTTTTCCATCAGCTACGCAGTGGTTCATTGTCAACCCCAAGGCAAAACCACCGCACTTGAACCTTGTCACCTGTAATTTCATAAAATTTCAACATAATTGTTAAAGACCAATTCACCACGTCAGGATTCTAACTTTAACACTATATATGATTAAAAAAGAAAAATATGTTAGCATATTTACGAACCTGTACGGTCATCAAAGGCATTTCTAGTATGTTTTCAACACCAGGGACTTCGTAAATAAACTTCTCTAACTTTGGAGTTTCAGGAACTGTGATGTCACCAAGCTCGACGATGCTGAAATTCGCAATTGCTTCAACAAATGGCACCCCTTCGGTATCAGTGCACTCAACGAAAAGCTTTCCATCAGAATTTGATTTTAGTCGCCCGGCAAGTGGATAATAATAAACTAAAACTTTAGACAAGGCTTGTTTGATCACATCACAAGCAGCTTCACTACTCGTCTTGCCGTCTAGATTGTAAATGTAAATGGTTTTCATCATGGCGACGACAGCGCGGTCTAGATTGGACAACAGATGCGTCCCGTTATAAGGTTTTTTTTCAGGTTGGATAAATATGGGTTCCAAACTTTTTACAGATATCAGACCACCATTTTCCTGATTTGATACCTCCATATTGCAAGTCCTTAAAATTACTGTACGCTCTGTGTGTATATGTTAAGTGTGAAATTAAACTACGAATCCCTTTGAGCAAAGAAATTGTTGCTTGTGCTTTCTATTTATACATCACAAATACCTGATTTATATCAACATCGCCAGCAGGTATACGTCTCATTCTTAAAGGGTAGGATATTTACATGAACATAATCATCATTGGTGCTTAGCGGGAAAAAAAAAAAAAACAAAAAAAAGAATTAGAGTTAATTGCAATGAATTTCAAAACTCAAGAAAACTTAACATGAGAGGATTCAAATTCTCTGTTCTTAAATATATTTTTTCAACATCATCAGTGACTTATAGACTACTTCCAACTAAACCTATATGACAAAAGATGTAAGGAAAATGCAAATTTGTAGGAAAGCCAGAAAATTAGAAAACCTTATTAACGAAGAGGTCAACTAATTAAGATGTTATGGTTTAGTCTAAATTAAAATATTAAATGGAAAGATAGCGTTAACTAAGGAATGTGCATGTGGTCTGACCAATTAATGACAAATCTTGTTGCTAGACTAAAAGAATATAACAACCATAAGAATTATATAGTTAATTAATTTATGGTCAGTGGTAAGTAAGGTTCTAATACAGATTAAACGTCCCTTCAATAAATAATTTATCCTGCAGTCAAGCACCACCAAGTACGCTAAGGAATTTTTTTAGATGAATTCATAATTTTATTATTAATTTATTCTATATGGAAGCTAGCTAGCTTTCATTTATTTTTCAAAAATTAGTGGAGAGTGGGCACTGGGCACCATTAATATTTATCTTTATCTTGATGTACGTGGAAGCAATCATTTATCTTATCGAAATTGTGAGCACGATAAACTTCACAGTGGGAGTAGTCTTCCCAATCTCGATATCTCTCAAGTCACTAGTCAAATCTATTATGTCTCAAGGCAAAGGAGGCTGGAACAAATGTCATATTATTGAGATTAGGTTATAATTTTAATAAGATAAATGTGTAGTCAACAGGTTAATATATGTGTAATTAGAGAAAGAAAAGGAGTAGTCAGGATAGTCGAATGTCGAATGTTAATAATAACAAAATCTAAATCTGCCTCATCACGTAACCCTTTTCCCCTTGAAGATCAAAAACCCAAAAAGAAGAAGTTAATAAATGCTAGATCTCTAGTCAATAAGATTTGTAAAATTGAAAACACATGCAATTGGTTGAAGATTAAGACCTTGTCTTTCTACTGTATTAATGGTGGCTCGCCACCCCAACAACTCTCCATTCATCACTGCAGTGATATATGAATGATACAGTTCTAGAACACGTCAAGGTGTCTCGTCAAACACTAAATTTATAGATCATCATCATTATTATATAAAATTCGAAATAATTATTTACATAATTCCTTCAGGTTTGGTGTAATTTCTATCATTGTTGTTTACTCCCACAAAAGACTCAATTAACTCAGTTCATTTTAGGGATTTTTAGATATTTTTCTCAAACTAACAATTAAGAAAACTAATACCTAATTATACAATCATCACTCAGGACCCCAATTAGGAAGTGGATTGTAACTGCTCATAACTAAGTGGTAGTTAATAGGTCACTTACATTCTCCCACTTGACCCATTATTTACCACGTGATATAAAATAGTAAATTGATTTTGATGTATGACCATACATAGAATTTTAGTTCACTCTTAATGGGCTCATCACATCCATGATAAAAGTACAAGTCATGGATCATGACTGTATATGCCTTATTACCAGAACACTCCATTCCATGCATTACATGAATTGTTCGTTTTATGATGAGTGACAACCAAACTTTATAGAATAAAATTCAATAATTTATTCTTGGATCAACTTTATTGCCTTAAATACAATAGGCATTTGTCATTATCAAAACTATATGTATACACAAAATTAATAACAGAAAACTTCAATTGAAATCGTCAAGTTTACATTTGCAAAGTCTTAGAAAGAATTATAAACACAATGATTTATATAAACCCATATGGCCTACATGAGCCACAAACACCTTAGGTGGAAGACCTTTGGTGAAGGGATCAGCGATCATATCATTTGTGTCAATATGTTCAATCAATACATGACGATCTCAAACATCTTCTTTAACAACAAAATACTTTATTTCGATGTAACGACACCGACTTACTGAACATGTGTGGTTAGAGAAGCACACAACTGCTGTATTATCACAAAATATTTTTATTGGTCTTTCTATTGATGAGACCACATTTAAATCTGTGATAAACTGTCTCAACCACGACGACTGAGAAACTGCTTAACAACATGCTACTACTTCAGCTTCCATTGTGGAAGAAGCTGTCTTCGGCTGTTTTACACTATGCCAAGAAACTCCTCCTCCAGCAAAAAGAAATATAAAGCCTGAGATAGACCTTGTTGTGTCTTGACATTTAGCATAATCTGAATCTGAATATCTAATTAACTCCAAGTCATCAACATGCTTATAGACAAGCACGTGATCTTTTGTCCCTCAAAGATATCTTAATACTTTTTTTATTGTTGTCCAGTAGGCCGGACTAGGATTTTGTTGGAACTTACCCAGAACTCCCACTATATATGAAATGTCAGGTCTTGTACAAACTTGAGCATGATTTAGACTTCCTATTGCAGAAGCATAGGGAATATTCTTCATGGATTGATGTTCTAAATCAGTCTTCGGACATTGTTCAAGACTAAGCTTGTCTCCTTTAACAATAGGTGCTACACTTGATGGACAATGTTTCATATTGAAATGCTCCAAAACCTTTTCAATATAGCCCATTTGAGACAATCCTAAGGTTTTTAATGACTTATCTCGGTGAATCTATATGCCTAAGACATAAAAGGCTTCACCCATATCCTTCATATCGAAGTTTTGAGCTAGAAATTGTTTTGTTTCACATAACAATCCAAGATCATTGCTAGCTAAGAGAATGTTATCCCCATATAGTAAAAGTATGATAAAACTACCTCTTTTTATCTTGATGTAAATACACTGATTAACTCAGTTTTTATAAAGCCAAATGCTGAAATAGTTTTATCAAACTTTAAATACCATTGCCTAAAAGCTTGCTTCAGGCCATATATGGATCTCTTGAGCTTATAAACTAAATGATCTCCTTTGACCGAAGTCAATCTTTCAGGTTGATCCATGTATACCTCCTCTTCTAAATCGCCATTTAGAAATGCAGTTTTGACATCCATTTGATGTAACTCAAGATCATAATGAGCTACTAATGCCAAAATTATTTGCAAAGAATCTTTTCTAGATACTGAAGAGAAGGTTTCGTGATGATCGATTCCAACTCTTTGGTTATAACCTTTCGCTACAAGTCGGGCCTTGTATCTATCGATTCTACCTTGTGAGTCTCGTTTTGTTTTATAGACCCACTTACACCCCATAGTGGAAGCATTTTTAGGTAGATCAACAAGATCCCAAACCTGGTTCTTTGCCATAGATTCCATTTCATTCTTCATGGCATTATACCATGAAATGGAATCTTTACATTCCATTGCTTTTGAAAAAGATGTCGGATCGTCATTAATATCCACATCTATTTCTGATTTTTGGAGATATACTTGGTAATCTGAAGAGATTGCTGACTTTCTAGTTCTTAAGGATCTCCTTAGACCTTGTTCAAAATTTTCATTTTCTTGAATTTGAACAACCGGTTCGACAACAACTTGTTCTTGATGTGGTACTATATCATGAATTTGTTTTCCATGCCACTATTATTGTCATTTTCTAAAAACTTAGCAACCTTTGATTCCATAATTTTTAGGGAATTTGAGGGACAATAGAACTTGAAACCCTTCAACTTTTCAGAATAAGCAATTAAGTATCCACTGACTGTCCTTGAGTCTACTTCGAAGATGTGGATTATCTATTCTTAGTTCAGTTGGACAACCCCACACTCGAGTGTGTCTCAAACTAGGTTTCCATCCTTTCCATAACTTAAAAAGAGTTTTAGGAACTGTTTTAGATGGTACCCTATTCAAAATGTATACAACTGTTTTAAGAGCTTCACTCCATAAGTTTGAATGTAAATTGGAATTACATATCATATTTCTGACCATGTCCATTGGAGTATGATTCCTTCTTTCAGCAACGCCATCTTGATCTGGCGATCCAGGCATGATATATTGTGCTTGAATATCTTATTCTTGAAGATACCGTGCAAACGGACCAGGTGATTGACCGTATTCTGTGATTCTACCATAATATTCTCCACCTCTATCTAATCTTACTATTTTGATCATTTTTCCCGTTTGTTTCTCTACTTCTGTCTTGTATATCTTAAAAACATTTAATGCTTCGTCTTTATGATGTAAAAGGTAGAGATACATAAATCTTGAATGGTCATCAATGAAAGAGATAAAATATCTTTGACCATTTAGACAAGGTGTGAACGGTCCACAAATATCAGTATGTATGATTTCTAAGATCTCATTCGATCTTCTGGCACCCCTTTTTGTTTGTTTGGTCATTTTTCCCTTTATACAGTTGATACAAAGATTAAAATCGGTGTAATCAAGAGTCTCAAGTAACCCATCATTTTCCAACTGTTTAATTCTTTCAATTGATATATGTCCCAAACATCGATGCCATAAATTTCCAAATTTCTCATTCAAATATAATCTTTTAGTGCCAGTATGATTATAGAAAGTAAATTACTTTCAAATGTTGGATCTAAATTTAAGACAAACAAATTATTTAATAAAAAACCACGACCTACGATTAGATCATTTTTGCAAATACGAAAATTAATGTAACTAAAAATAACTTCATAACATTCATAAGTTAATTTAGATACAAAAATTAAGTTCTTTGCAAAAGTAGGAAAAAAGTGTTCTTTAAATCCAACACATGTCCAAAATCAAGCATTAATCTATAAACTCCTATAGCTTCAACTTGAGAAATAGTCTTGTTTCTAGCATAAATGTATTTCTCATTTTGCTTGGGAGTTCTTGTCTGCAA